TCTTTGCTTCGCCAGGAGAAGAGGCCTGGACACTTTCTGCTCAAAGGGGGCCTGCAACCACCCTCTTGCGAATCTTTTCATATAGCTGCACTGCTCCTTCGAGCTTGAAGGGCTATTGGGCGCCTGGTTAGAGATTCTCTGGCGCCTCGGATAGTGCTCGTCGCAACCTTTTCTGGGAGCCTCTCAGGCGCCTCATATGTCCCTCGTAAGCGACTCCGATGAGCCTTTCGGAATCTTCGCACAACATCGTCACTCAATCTTCGCACCATGTGGATCACCATCATCGTCGTCATCATCACCAGATTCATCATCGTCATCACCAGCCCTATCACCACCACCATCCTCAGCATCATACTCAGACTCAACACCACAGTCATCACCATCACCTGCAGTATCATCATAATCAGAATCGGCATCATCATCACAATCACCATCATCATCAGCATCATCATCATCACCACCATCACCATCACCACCATCATCATCATCATCATCATCATCATCATCATCATCATCATCATCATCATCATCATCGTCGTCATCCTCAGTATCATCATAATCGTCAGCATCATCACTAACATCGTCATCATCATCAGCATCAGCAGCATCCTCATCAGCATCCTCTTCATCATTAGCATCATCATCGTCAACAGTATCATCAACATCAACATCATCACCGGCATCATCAACATCGTCACTGTCATCATGGCATCGTTATCATCACTATCATCATCAACATCATCATCAGCATCGTCAGCATTATCAGCCTCATCCTCATCCTCATCTTCATCCTCATCATCATCACCATCTGAATCAGTAGCATCATCATCAGCCGCATCATCATCATCAGCATCATCATCATAATCGTCATCAGCATCATCATCATCATCGCCATCACCATCATCATCATCATCAGTATCATCATCATAATCATCATCATCAGCATCATCATGATCATTCTCATCATCATCATCATCCTCATCATCATCATCATCATCACCAGTATCATCATCATCATCAGCATCGTCATCATCATGATCACCACCATCATCATCATGATCATCAGCATCAGCACCAGCATCATCATTAGCATTATTATCATCATCGTCATCATCATAATCATCATCATCATCAGCGTTATCGTCGTCACCATCACCATCATAGTCATCACGAGCATCACCATCATCAGCAGCAGCATCATCATACAATCAACATCAGCATCATCATCCTCATCCTCATCCTCATCCGAATCCTCATCATCATCAAGCCCTCGACTGGTCCCAGCATCGTGCGAGGCGGAGCCCCGCGGCCTTTTTGTATGTTGCGGCGCGTTCTGTTATGATTGCACGCGTAAGGTTGATCATTGGCCTCAGGGCGCCGTCTATGTTAGTCTATGGCCCGCTGTGAACGAACGTGTCACCACCATCATCAGCATCAACATCACCATCTCCGTGGCCCTGGTGTTCATCATAGATAATATCCCCCCATCATCACCACATCCATCAGCACCCCCAGCAACAGCACGGCCTCCATTGCCATCTATGTCGTGGGTCACGGTCGTGCCTCCCCTCGTGGACGTCAAACAAAAGTTTCAGTATTCTGCCCCAGTTGTGGAAGGAGAAGACAAGAAACCCGCAGGAGGAGCACGTGAGGCAAAGCAAGACGAGCAGAACGACTAAGAGAGGTCGAGCAACTACGGTCGTGCGAGTTGGCACGGTAGTGGCTTTCAATGTCTCTCGTCGTGCCTGTTTGTTCAACTTGCTTCCGTCACGCCTCTATGTGGTTCTTACTGTGGCCGCTTTCTTCGGGGCGGAAGTGCAAACCCTCGGGCGCTGCCACGGGTCTGGAGCTTCCAAACGACATGTGCACACATGAACTTTGAGTTAAGGGCCAGTGCGGGCCACAACAAAGCCAATCCGGCCGCACGCTGGGCCACACAAGAACCCAACGCGTGACACAAGAACCCCATTGGCCACACAAAAACTCGGTGGCGGAAAGGGCGAGGGGGGACACATCGGAGAAGGAGGAAGGAGAAGAGAAGAGGAGGGGGTGGACGATAGGACGGAGGCGGACGAATGCTTGACTGCCTCTCCCTCCTCCTCCTCCTCCTCCTCCTCCTCCTCCTCCTCCTCCTCATCTGCCTCCTCCTCCTCCTCCTCCTCATCGTCCCCCTCCGCCTGCTTCTCCTCCTCCTCCTCCCCCCTCCTCCTCCTCCTCCTCCTCCTCCCCTCCTCCTCCTCCTCTCCTCCTCCTCCCCTCCTCCTCCTCCTCCTCCTCCTCCTCCTCCTCCTCCTCCTCCTCCTTATCCCCCCCTCCACAATCACACAACATGAGTACGACTCTCCTCTCTCCCCTGACTCTGTCCGGAGAGTGTCCCGTCCACTCCGCGAATTGTTTTCTACGCACAGGATTTCATGCTTTGGTTTTTCCTATGTGCTTTTTCAATCCGGTCGTTTCTGGTTCTTCCAAAATGGTGTTCCCGCTGCAGCGCCGCTCTCATTTCCACGCTTCGGTCATTCAAAATCGTGCTCTCGCTGCGCTGGCCTCGTTCCCGCGCCCCCGGACGGCACTTGGCATTCAAAAGCGCTCACATCGGGCAGGCACAGTTGCGGAGGACATGAGCCGGCATTCCGGACAGGCCCTGTCCTCTCGTAGACGGGCCACTGCCACGGCATGCAATGCGATGCTGTGTTGTGCACCACTGTGCGATGCCATGCTTTGCGTTGCTATGCTTTGTGATGCAATGCTTCACTACGCAATGCCACGCCATGCTATGACATGCTATGCTCTGCCGTGCTATTTTAGGCCATGCTTTTCGCGTTCCCTATTGGGGTCATTGCCCTGCTCGACATCCGACTGTGTGAATAGGTGAAAGATGTACGCCATGGTAAGGAATGGGAGGGCGGGGTAGGACGTCAGATGTGACGCCAGCGCGCCTAGCTTGTCCTCCTGCCCCTCCCCCTTCTCTAGCACCTCCTCCTCCTCTTCCTCTTCCACCTCCTCCTCCACCTCTCCCTCCTCCTCCCCCTCCCCGTCCCCCTCCCGACCCTCCTCCGCAGCGCTCTGCGGGCCCGGGACCACACACAAAAACGATTAGACACGGATCCCAGCCTTCCCAGCATGTTCTTCCGCAGTGTCTGGGGTCTCGTTTTCCCCCCCGCACCTCCCACACTTTCCCATGTTTTCCCAGGGGTCGACGATTCTTCCTGTCTGGCGGGGGTGCTCTGCGCTCCGTCCGCCGAGCCGCCGAGGCTGCATGGGGAGGGGCGTGGTGGGGTGGAGTAGGGATGGCGTGAAGGCGAAGGGGGGGCGGGGAGGGGGGCGGGGAGGGGGGGCGGGGAGGGGAGCGGTGGGGGGAGCGGGGAGGGGAGCGGAGGGGAGCGGAGGGAGGCGTCAAGCCAGGTGCGCTCGCGTCATATCCGGCGTCCTGCCCCTCCCTCCCATCCCTTACCACGGCGTGGATCTCTCCTCTCTACTCGCACAGTCGGATGTCGTAGCATGGTACAGCACTACATGGCATAGCATGGTGTTGAAGATCAACGCGTAGCATTACATAGCATGGCGTGGCGACGCCCCGCAGTTGTGGGGGGCTTCCGTGGCCCAAAAAATCAACGAATCGACACCGAATGTGGAATCACTTCCGATGTTTTTTTCGGGAGGCCATTTTCTAGATTTGGGGGCGTTTTGAAGGACCGAAAACTATGCCGTGGCAAGGCAGTGGAAATGATGACGCCAGCGCTGCAGCGGGAGCACGACTCGGAACGAGCGGAAGCGCGGAAATGAGGCCAACGCTGCAGCGGGAGCACGACTCGGAACGAGCGGAAGCGCGGAAATGAGGCCAGCGCTGCAGCGGGAGCACGATTTGGAAGGAGCCGAATCGCGAAAAGGAGGCCAGCGCTTCAGCGGGAGCAGAATTTGAAAAACAGCCCAAGCGAAAACCAGTCTCCTAGGAATCCTGCATGCAAAAAACAGCACGCGGAGAGGGGCCGGATATCTTCTGGACGTCATCACGGGAGAGAGGAGTCTCCTTGTCAGTGGGCCCCGCGATGCTCCCAGGAGGCTGGGGAGGACGGCGCGGCGGAGAAGAGGGAGGAGCAGGAGGACGAGGAGGAGGAGGAGGAGGAGGAGGAGGAGGAGGAGGAGGAGGAGGAGGAGGAGGGAGGAGGAGGGAGGAGGAGGAGGACCAGCAGGAGGAGGAGGAGGAGGAGGAAGAGGGCCAGCGTAGACCCAAAGTAGTATTCATATTGTGCCATTGTGGAGGATTGCGGATGGGAGCAGGGAGGGGAGCGGAGGGGAGCGGAAGACTGAAGCAGGAGACGAGACATCGCCACACGGCCATCGTGCTACTGTGGGGCGCACGTGGATGTGATAGTACTGCATGTCCTCCTTGGAGACGTGCGCCCGACCCGAACGTATCGTGCAACCATCTTCCTCCGCCTCCTCCTCCTCCTCCTCCTCGTCCTCGTCCTCGTTCTCGTCCTCGTCCTCCTGCTCCTCCCTCTCCTCCGCCGCGTCGTCCTCTTCTTCCCCCTCCTCCTCCTCTTCCTCCTCGTCCTCCTCCTCGTCCTCCTCCTCCTCCTCCTCCTCCTCCTCCTCCTCCTCCTCGGGCGCACAGCGCGCGTTGCTACCCCCCTGTGGTCGTCCGCCCCCCCTCAGCGCAACACTTTTCCCCTCCCCCGCGATTCAAAGTTGGCACGCTTACGCATCACCGCTCGGGCACACAAACTCGGAAGATCCGAAGCCAATATTGCATTCGGGGGAAGGGGGTTCAAACCATGATTGTGTTACGCGCGAGTGTTGCTTGATTGTCTCCGCCACCTGCCAGAGCCCCGAGCCCGAAGCGGTCCTCATCTCAGCGTCTTGGCTGTACACAAACTCTCTCGGAGGTCCGCGCAGAGTTCTGGCGTCGGCGACACATGCGCGCGGACGCCCGAACGTTTGGGCCGATGGCGATGGACGCTCGCGTCAGGGGGCGCCGGCCGGTGCAGAAGAAAGCCGCGTCAGGGGGGCAGCAGACCGCGCCGTCGCGCAGGGTAGTGCACCACCACCAGGTCCGCCAGCACGCCCCACATCAGCGCGCGCCGCTCCGCTGCTGGGGCGCCGCCGCCGCCCGCCGCCCACGGCCCGCCGCCGCCGCCCGAGGAGCTGCCGGCAGGGCCGAGGGCACACGCGGGCCTCGGAGGGCCTCGGCCGAGCTCGGGGAGCGTGTGGCGGAGGCGCCGCAGGGCCAGCTGGTGGCAGGGGCTCCCCGCGGCGGGCATCAGCTCCTGTCGGCTGCGCGCAGGCGTCTGGAGTGACCCTGCGCACGGGTGGCCTTCTGGTGCGCGGTCTCGGGAGGCCGTGGGGGCGGGGCCGAACCCAGGCGCGCCAATCGGTGCCAGGGGGCCCCCCGTGGGCCCGCACCAAACCCAGACATGCGACGTCTTGATCCCTTTCCCAGTGGGCCGGTGCTTCATCCCGGGTCTTTCATCCCGACGCCCAGCGAGGGCCCTAGCATCGTAATTCTTGTCGCGACGCGACCATGGCTGCGAAGGCCACCCCGACGAAAGGTCACTCTTACGCGTAGCCGACTCCTCTCCGGGCCAGGCGCCGAGCACCCAGCGCGTGAGCGGCGAGGGCACCGCCAGGCGCGGCGCTGTGCCGGGGCCTGGCCGCAGCCCCGTGGCCGCGCGGCGCAGCGCCACCGACAGCTGCCGGCGCGCCCAGATGAGCTCCAGCAAGGAGCGGAACGCGTCCCGCCGCGCAGCCGCTGGAGGGCGGAGCGCCGGCGACTCGCCGCCGGCACCCCCGTGGCCCTCCACCGCGTGCGCGAAGCGCGCGAACATGGCCTGCATGGTCGGGTCCCCCGAGGCGCGCGAGATCCACTCGGCCTCGCCCACCCACTGCCGGCGGCAGGCACGGCCCAGCACGGCTGCGAGCTGCCTCGCGCCAGCGGCCGCCCTCGCCTGCAGCGTCGAGCCGGCGAGCAGGAGCTGCTCGCGCCGAGCGCGGCTCAGCCGCCAGGCAAGCCAGCAGGCCTGGAAGGCGTGCAGCTCCCTCTTGGATGCTGCGAGCGAGAACGCGCGTATCGTTTGCGCTCGCCACCTCCACGCGGCCATCAGCTGAGCCAGCGCTGCGCTTCTTGGGGTGCACCGCCAGCCGCCCGCCTGCCGCATTCGCACCTGCTGGCCCTTCGCCGCGGCCAAGTGCTCGCACTGGCGCCGAGCAGAGCTGCGGCCCCGCGCCCAGGGCGACCAAGCGCTCCACACTGCGCGCAGGCGCTTGGACGACCCAGGGACACGAGCTGGGGCACCGCACACTCTGTGAGCCCCCCGCATCTCCTTCGGAGGAGCGCAGTGCTTGGGCTCGGGCAGAGGTGGGGTTCGGGGAGAGCCGCCCTGGACGGCCCCTGCAGCCTCGAGCTGGGCTCGCCCACCGACCCCACCCTGGGCTGACCCCCCCTCCACGCTCCCCCCAGCTCCTGCACCACGCGCCACCTCGCGCGCCAGCGCCGGATCAT